TAAAAATTAAATAAAAATAAAATAAAGCACTCTGAAAAGAGTATTATAGTTGAGATATTTTCCCCCTCATTCATTCATACATGTGTTTAGTATTTACTATCAATTACATGCCAAGTATGCTGGTTAACAAAGACCAGTAACTATAATAACTAGTATTTACATAGTGCTATGTGCCAGAGATGCTTATGTTCTAAGCATCGTATGGTAGAAAGCAAGAATTTTGATCCATCCTGCCTCCTCCTCTTAATAAATGTATATCCCTGCAGACTTATTTTAACTTCTCTGAGCCTCCTTGTCTGTAAAATGGGAATTGGGGAATCAAAGAATCTCTCATAGTGGGTTGGAATGATTAATTTGAAGCATATACAATGGAAAGCCTAGTTTATGGCAAATATTAGACTGTATTTGCTTTTCTTCTACCTGTAAATTCCGAGTTTAGTTTTAATGCAATAAGTAAACAAAGTGCTGTAGTAAAATGATAGAATGAATAGGGAAACACACTACTGAGATATGAAAAAGAGAAGTGAAATTAAGGGAGCATATATAGCCTTTTGTCAAACTGTAAACTTCTAACAAGTTACTTTCTTTCTTTCTGGTTTCCTATGGGCAGATCTTTTACTATCACATCTTCTAATTATCTAAAAAGAATGAGGTCTGAGTAAAAAAAAACCCAACTTTTACAGGCATACACACACAACACATACGCACAAAGATGTACTTGTTTTTTTAAGAAAGTAAATAGTGGGCAAAGATGATAAAGCCAGCAGCTCAAACTATAGGATACGTACCTGGAACAGTTAACTTAAAATGGAAAGGTTGTGCTAGTCAGAAAAACAGGTTTAAAATGCCACAACAGACTGAATGCAATACCTAGGGCATACTCATCTTATTTAACCAAAGCAAAAATTTAGGATCAATACAAAACTATTAAAAAAAAGAGAAAAAAGTTAATGGAAGACATTTTAGTTTATGATAGACCACTATCTAGGACTGTTTAAAATGTTCAAATGGAATCATTTAATACTGATGTTTGTATCAAATGTGCTAAATTTCCCTGCCCTGCAGATAGCCCATTGGTATTACTCAGCCCAAGGAACTCAACTAAGAGATCACTTACGTGTGAACTCCATCTGATTTTCTTTGTTCAAAAACTAAGGTTCTTCCTTCTGGAGAGGCAAGATGGAAATCAATATCTAATCCTGCTCCATCTAAAACCTGTAGAAAAGCACAAAAGAAAAGAACACATTATAAATTCTGAAAATAAAAAATATATAAAGTAGATCATATGATGAAAAGAATTTCTTTCTAAATCTAGAGAGGTAAAGTCAACAAGATGCATTTAAGGGCTAGAAAGGAGCACAAAGATCATCCAATTCAATTCTATTCATTTTGGAACTTTCTTGCCAATTCCTGTTGCCATCACCTAACTTTAGGCCTTATAAATATTACTAAAATAATCTTCCTAAAATGATGCCTTGATTGAGAAGCCCTATAGAGTGGAAGGAAACACAGAAGGGAGTTCAAATGGTAAACCTTTTTACTTAGGCAAAATATAGCAATACATGCTATATAACTTTTCTGAGTTTGTTTCCTCTTCAATAAAATAGTAATTAGCTATTTCTTAACCCAGAACTCAAAACTACCATGATCTGACTCCAATTGACTTCTTCAGTGCATACACTTATTATTCCCCAATATGAACTAAATATTCCAAGTAGGCTATTGTTTTACTTGCCAGTGAACACAGTCTGTTCCTTTACAATCCCAAAATGATGGTGATAATAGCTAACAATTACAGTGTATGCCACACATTAAGTGCTTTCTCTGGGCTAATTTCCTCAAAACAACTCTAAGAAGTAGGTCTTACTACTGTTCTCAGTAAAATAGAAGAACCAATTAACAGAACAAACAAACAAAAACCACAAAAAAAATGAGGCACAGAGAAATACTTTTCTCAGGTAGATATAGTCAATGAATGTCAAAATTTGAACTCAGTTTTCCTCCGATAACTACTCTTTTTCTTACTTAACACTCCATTTTATTTTTCTTGGTGGCTTTAATGGAATGATATAAAAAATTACCTGTTCCTGTGCTATACTTACTTATCAACAAAAGTAGTTTCAAATAGCCAGCTAAATATATATAATTCTCTTTCATCTTCAAATCCCAATAAAATGAAAATATATTGATACAAATAACACTGGAAATCTAGGAAGACTGTTAACAGACATGAAGAGTAAGGAATTTCTGGAAGATAGTCCACTGAGCAAAGGATATATATATCTAGCTAACAATAGCTATCAATCTCAAAATTCTCACTGAAACAGACTAGAGAAACACATTTGTTGAAATCAATGCCCTCTTTTTCATGTTACTGGTTTTACTGAAAGGATCAAATTCTGAAAAAATAGTTAATATAAACAGACTTCAAAATGTTTCTTCATAAGTATATATCCTCAGAGAAATTCAAGAATGTGTAATCCATAAAAATGAGGTTGCTGGTATGAAAAATAAAAAAGATAAAAAATGTTGCCAAAATAAAGTCTTAACAAATGTAATGACAGCAGAATGAATATGGATAGAGAATAAAAATCAGCAAACTGGAAATATAACCAAGGAATTCTCAGAACAAGGTGAAAAAAGTACAGATGAAAAGTATGAGAAAAATGGTAAGACCCTTTGGGAAGGACAGAGCTAAAGATTTCAAATATCTATCTAACAAGCATTTCAAAGAAGAAAACCAAGAGAAATGAAGGGAAGAAATCATCAAATAAGAGAACAAAAATTCTTGCTTCAAAAGATAAAAATCTTGAGACTGGGAGGGGCTAATAGATGTAAAAGATAAAAAAATTCCTACTGACTTTCCAAAGGATTTAAAAAGAACAACCTAGAAACTTCCAATGTTAAGTAGTAGAGAACTACTACTTACAAGAATTGGGATTGGCATCAGAATTCTTACATATAATACTAGATACAAAAAAAATACAGCCATGTCTTCAATGAGTCCAAGTAAAAGAAAATTATATTTACTAAAGTGAAAGCACAAAGTTTGTCCAAGGACTCAAAGCATTTTATTTTTTAAAAATTTATTTATTTAGTCATCGCTACACCCAACGTGGGGCTCAAACTCACGAACCCGAGATCAAGAGCCACAGGACTCAAAGCATTTTAAAAGAATTACTCAAAGTTATCCTCTAAAAAAGCCAAAAAAGATATCTATTAAATCAGAAAATAAGAGATCTAACAAAACTAAACAAAGATTTCAGTAAAAGATTTAAAAGATATTATTGGTAGTGGCTGTCAGGCTTAATGAAATTGTTAAAAATGATAAGAACACAAGATAACTAAAAATATATAAAACACAATTTTAAAGCATAAAAATATTTATTTAAAAAACACCATGGGCGCCTGGGTGGCTCAGTTGGTTAAGCAACTGCCTTCGGCTCAGGTCATGATCCTGGAGTCCCAGGATCGAGTCCCACATTGGGCTCCCTGCTCGGCAGGGAGTCTGCTTTGTCCTCTGACCCTATCCCCTCTCATGTGTTCTCTCTCTCTCATTCTCTCTCTCTCAAATAAATAAATCTTTAAAAAATAAAAATAAATAAAAATAAAAAACACCATAATCTGAAACTAAACTTCCTGATGATTCACTAGAAGATGATGAGTGCCACTCTCCCTAGTCTGTACTGTTGTTGTAACAGTCTTTCAGTTCCTCAAAGGCTTTCTTCTGTCTTCTTCCTCAATGCAAAGTTAAATCACCCCCTTATGCCTAATAAGGCTGATTTTTCTACAGTTCTGAATTGTACTTCTGGAATGTCTTCTCTCAATTCCCAGATGAAATTAAGTCCTCCTATTAAATCTTCTCATAGCTGTATATACCTACCTTCATAGCACTTAAATTAGAGTTACAATTTTACATTTATTTGGAAACAGTTTGATTACTTTTTCCATACTAGATTGTATGAGAACATGGACTATATTTTTACTCACCATTATATCCGTAGCACTTAGCATAGTGCTCCAACAAATTAAGCACTTAGCAATGATTTTTAAAAAGTTAACTGAATGATCTAGTTTATTCCTAAAATATATGTATTGACATTTAAAATTTTCAAGAACTTAATATAATGTGGGGCTAGTCAATTATTCTAAAAGTGTCCTCCTAAAGCTGGAAAGTAAGAAATGGTTAAAAATTTTCAGTATGTCACAGTGACCCAAGGGCAATGTCTGGAATGTCTGTTCCCTGACATTTTAAAAACGAAGACAAAAAGCAGTAGCTGGTGTTATTGGAAAATTAATCCTGGAATTGGAAAATGCAAACAAAAAGGTGAAGATTACCTCTTACTCTACAAACCCCTCAATGTTGTCTAGGACTATAGACATTAAATCATTTTACCTCTTTCTTCAATCAAAACAATTAAGTTGTTTAGGGGGATTACTTCAGGGGGAACAGTCCCTTTAAGAGTGACTAAAGATGCAGAGAGCATAAAGCTAAGCCAAGCCAGCTATATAACTCTAGAAGTGTAAATGTAGAAACACCAACATTCACTGCTTATTTACTAGTGTCAGGGATGGTCTATGAACACATATTAACACATTTCTTAAAATCAACTCTGTGAGGTAATTACTATTATTTCTATTTTACAAGCGAGAGGTTAAATAACTTGTTCAAATCACAGAGGTAGTAAGTGACAGAGTTAGGATTTCAACCCAAGCATTTTATCTCTACAGATTTTATATCATAATCATAAGAGGTCAGTAGTTCATATACATTTCCTCCCTAATACCAATACCTGGATAAATACTAAGGAATTTTCAAATAATACAAATTGTTTTCTTAACCTCCAGTTGGGTTTCCTTGCCTCTAATTTTGCCCTCCTTTTCCCACACTGTATCCAGTGATCTATCTGGAAAACATTTCTGACTGTTACCATGCTGCTTCTATCTTCAATGGCCCTTGTACAGAACAAGGGCAAAGCCACTCAGCACGGCACACAAGCCTAAAGATTCATGATCCATGATCCATGATCCAGCCTCCTGACCTCTCCAATCTATTTTACTTCTACTCACACCCTAGACTTTAGTCTTCAGGTCTAATAAAAACTCAGCACTTGTAGTGTCCACATACTGCCCAGCAACAAAACACACTATGCATTTTATAACTATTCGTGTTTTGTTCCTTTTCCTGAAATGCCCCGCCTTCTTTGCATTCTTGTCTCAATTAAGCATCTTTCAGGATTCAAATTTAGTTTCTCCAGGAATCCTTTTCTGAAACACCAGAGAAGTGGTTGTCCTCTAACAGCACTTAATGATACTTTATTGAAATTAGCTGTTTATTAGCCAGTATCCCTTAAATAATAAGATCCTTGAAAACGGACTCTCTTTTTGTCCATGTCATAGTTGGTCATCTCACCCACACTCCTCCCATCCCCCTTCCACCCCTGCACATGGTAAATGAACTTTTGAACTACACTGAAGATCAATAAATGTTGCGTTCTAGCCTCAGTTTTGCTCACTATATGACTTCAGATATTGCGCTCTCTATTGCTTTCCTTAAATATCTAGAAATAATTTAATTCTAAGGTTCCTTCCGATGAAAATTCTACATAACTTATTTTGCTCTATAGGCGACAGTAACTGTTGAAAATAATTCTTTGCATCAACTTAAAAAAATTATGATTATAAATTAAATAATCTGGGAAAAATTAAAAGGTGAACCACACCAACGCATTTTTTTTTTTTTTTTTTTGCAGTGCTACCCAGAAGCATCAAAATTAGCTGTGTGGAACTAACAAGATTTCTTCTAAGAAATTACCCTCTACCAAAATGACTATATAAATTAAGGCAAATCCCTACATAATATTATGAAGATACTAAAAAGAAAACAATGATATGGGAGAAATGCTTATAATGATGAACTAAAAGTTATAAAGTTTTAATATACAATTAAATATTGCTTGGTTTAAAAATATATAACTGAGAAGGAAATGTACCCATTAAATACATCAAGAGCTCCTTTCAAAATATTCCAAAATCGGATTTAGGGATAATCACAAGTTCACAGTTCAAAAAATCCTTAAATGAAGCGATGAGAGTGAAGATTTATAATACCGGAATTGGGTGAGCGTGGTCGGAGTAACAAAACAAGTGTCATCATCTCCTCCAATGATGAAGGAGAACGTGTTACCAGTCCTGTATTGAGAAATTCCCAGTATCAGAGCGTGTGCTGGTTAGCAAGGCGATGGGCGAATTATGAAACAAAAGGAAAAACCACCGAGATCACCAGTGCTGGCCTCTTTTCCGACGGGAGGAAAGGGGAGAGGGCGGGTAGTCAATTCCAGGTCCCGCCTAACTTCTGGGTCCCCGGCCCCAGGAGAGCCGAGCCTCGCGCGCCTGCGCGGAACGGGCCGGCTACGCCGGCGGCCCTCGTCTCTTCACCACCCTCGCAGTCCACAAGAAGTTTCTAAGCGGGTGAGAGGCGAAGACGCGGGGTAGCTGGGATAAAGGAAGGAGGCTGCTTCACCCTCCGCACTTACTTGGTACTCAATCTCCAGCGACGCCTTCAGGGGCATGGGCTGGTAGAAACACTCCCTCTGGCCGGCCGGAAGGGTAAACGTGAAGTCGCTGTCTAAGGAGGGCGTGAAGCCGGCCGCCCCCGGCAGCAGCACTGAGAACAGAGTGGCCAGGAGGAACACCGGGCAGAGCAGCCAGATCTTGTCGCCCATCCCTGCCGGGGCGATCTCGGGCTGGAAGAGACGCGGGAAGTGTGGGTTATTGGCACCTAGGCTCCGCTTTTCCTCCCTGGACTCCTCGTGGTTGGCAGGGAAACCTGGAACCTGAAGAAACCAGGTGGCGGCCGCGGCGGCGGCGGCACAGGATCCCTCAGAGCGGGAAACGCCGGCCTCCGCAGGGTAGGGACCGAGGGGCGGGGCCAGCAGTCCTTTTCCGCACCCTTCTCGGTCTCGGCCCCCTCAGGCCTGGAATGAGCGCGCTCCGCCTCACACCAGGGCGGCAGGTTCCCATGGCTTCTCCCCCACCAATGGGCGTCTTAGCGGTAATTATGGGAAATGTAGTTCCAGGCGAGCGGGCTTGTACGCGCTCGCAGACCACGATCCCCGACAGGCCCCACGCCTTTGCGTCGCCTCACGCAGAGCCTGCGCGGGGCGGGGGGCGCGGAGCGCGGCCGGGGAGGCGCGTCCCCAACGGCTCCCGCGGCGGTTCGAACTCGGTGCAGCCGGGGTTCAGTTGTTCCCCGGGTGGAGTGTCTGATGCTTCCACGCCCCGAGCTCAGGAGAGGGTCCGAGGCTTCCGAACGCGGACGAGAGGGCGGCGTGCGCTGTTGTCAGGTGGGTCTGTCCCCCAGCTACGACTTGGGTGGTGAGTGACTGCTCCTTGGAGGGTGAGAACAGGCCTACCTGGCGGAGTTTTGTTCCTTTCCTTCCCAGCACCCTCGGACGCGCTTCGCATCGTCTTCACCCTTGCTGCGTACGCTGCTCTGCAGACTTGTATTTTATTTGAGAAAAAAGTGAGGGAGACGTCATGTTTTCCTCCGCTTCTTTCAGATGAACGTGGGATCAATTCTGTTAAATTGAGAGTTCTTAATAACAGGACCATACAACATTAATCTATAACCTCCTTCCAAATGGAGGAATTTTTTTTCGACTACAGCCCATCCTATTACATACAAGGTTTATAAACAACACCGGTTTTTCGGTGTTGGTGGGTGCGGGTGCGCGTGCGCGTAAAGCTACCAACGCGTAATTAGCAGCAGAAGGTGATAAGGTCAGGGCCTGTCGGTAGTAGCATGATGCACTTTTCCACGTATGTACAGGCAGTGAAGATAGACTTTTATAACCTACTGTAAGTTGAAGGGAAGAAAAGTTTTCATGGCTCAGGAGGAAAAAAAATTAAAAGCAAATGTATTCATTAGTACGTAAGTGTTAGGGATTGTTACATTAAAATACACAGAAGATGTTGGACGTAAAACCTGACTTAGTTGAAACGTAATATCGAATGACATTTTAGAATTCACCCAAATTGTCTGTACCCTTTTTTCCTTCACCATTCTGTAGGAAGCTAGAAATGTTGAAAAAATAAAGCAGAATGGGGACCTGATCCATTGACTTTTGTATGGGAGAGTCTTCTCATTTAAGCAGAAACAAATTTGTGCAAACGAAAGGGGAAAAAAGAAGCATTTTCTCTGCGATTACATAGCGTCTCATTTAATTTCCTGCCACAGTTTCTTCCAATAAGGTGAGGGGTTTCTTTTTAATCTTCCTTCTTATATCTGAGAAATTTTGAGTGGGGAATAAATTTGCCTCTCTATTTGAGCTGGATGAGGGGAAGGAAGGGCAATTCAGCAATCATCATTTATTCACTGAACATACTGACCTTCTGTAAGTGGCCTTAATAGTCCTGAACATAATACATAAGATTCCTAACCTTTTGGAGCTTGAGATGTGGTCAGAATTCTAGAAGGGTGATGAAAGAGAGGTGCTACAATGACAAAGGTAAATGGGATCTGAAAGAGGAATGTAACTTTAAGATGCAAAAAGATCTACAGTAGTAGAGATTTTAAAGCCTTAGTTCTTAATATATTCTTTATATGTACATATTCTTAATATGTATTTTATTTTATTTTATTTATT